TTATTGCCTCTTCTTCATTCCTCGTGTAATAGCAGTTTGGTGAGGCTGTTTTGTAGAGCTCTCTGCAGTCTGCAGCTACTGCATGCTTGCTGAATATGCAAAGATTATGTAAAAAAATTAATTTCTATATTTATATATGCTAGTCTCAGGTCCACTCTGATCGGCATAGGGCTGGCAGAATCGAATAGTGTTTCTTCCCCATGTAATCAGTGCAGTGGAATGGTCCATATTGGAGAATGTGACTTGATCAGTGATTTGATCAGTATCCCTGATTGTTTTTAGGTGAGAGCTGGAGTTACTGCTGCTGCGCTGTGGAAGAGTCTGCTTCTGTTCATGTGTTCTTGGCTAAAATACAACTGACAACTTCATAGGCAGGGAAAGGTGCACAGCAGTCGAAGGGGAAGGATGGTGCCTGACTCATAATGGAAATTATTAGAAAAAGCATCACCACTGTGTCACCAGGGTGTAGGACCAGGACATTCAGAAAATGTGCTTCATCAACATTATCAAATAATTTTCAAATTTTCTCCTGAAAAATTAGGATCATTTTAATCAATTCAAGCTTAACTTGAAACTTAAAAGTTGTGTTGTTTTTATAACAGGAAACATATTTTATGTAAGATGAAATATTTAAAAGAGATCTGCAGGAAAAAGAACTACCAGTTCTGCTTAATCTGTGCCTTATTGTGTATATTCTTTCCTTCGTGACGATTCTTTTTATTTCTTTTAAAAAGGAATTTGAAATACAGAAATGATATTGTCCAAGAACTCAAGTATGAAAAAATGCAGTTGTTGGTTGTTGTTTACTTCTGAAATTTATAATTTTCTAGACCTAGAAATGTAGGTTTAGAATGCTGGAGTTGTACATAAAGACATTATTCGGCCTACTCTGTATGAACGGATTAGCTGGAAGAAGAGATACTATCCACATCCTTGTTGGCGTAAAATGTGTGCATATGCAACAATGTAATGGCTTTAAGTGCTTTCCTTGTGTAACTCGACTGGGTTTTGGTGGAGTCATCAAAGATAAATTTTAATTAATATCTACAGGCAAGGCGTCAGCAAATAAAAATCTCATAAATGTGCAGCGATAGAAAATAGAAATATAACAGCATTATAGAAATAGTTTCACCATCTATGTGCTGATGGCCCCTGTTCTCTGTAACAACTCTTTTTACAGTAACTCCTTTGGAATTGCTCACAAAACCGTGAAGTCAAGTCAAGCATTTCTGTCTGGTACCGTACCTCCCAGTCCCAGTTAACGACCAGTGTAGCGCAGGAGTTCAAAACACCCTGATGAACAACCAGCAGATTCAATTTTGCCTGTAATTTTTTTTTTTTTTTTGTCCTATGGCAATACTCATCAGATAGTCCAAAATTCTTTTTAGCCTCTGCCATACTGACAGGCGGGATGTCACGGGGAAGGAGAGTGAAGTGTCAGTTCTGCATGCCCTGGCGGACTGGAAGGCTGGGGTTGCTGCTGAATGATAATGGGCTGCCCTCCTACGAACGCTTCCCTGGCAGTCCTGGGCTGCCTGGTCATGCGTGAACAGCATTCAGATTTGCCACCGTCCTGAAATGTTATTATCTCAACACAAAATGCCAATATAACGATGTGGAAATGTAGAATCAGGGATGCCGGTCTTCTGCGAGTAGAGGCTTATATATATTACAAGGAACTGTTTATTTTTCCAAGGAAATTTTGCTTTCATTTAGACCTCATAATTGACCAACTCTAAGCTCCTTAACTTTTTCTCATAACGCAGAGCTGGAATTTTTGCTGTTCATTTTGAGGCACAAGGTGGAAGTCTTCAGCACAGCTACTAGAAAGCTACAAAATATGTGCTTCTCATAGTAGGAGAAAGAGAAGGATATAGATTTTTTTAATTGACATTTTATTCTGAAATTCCCTTCCTTCACAAAAGAGCATCATCCCCCCCCCTTTTCATACTATAGCTGCCCCTTATTTGTAGGTGCAAATCTGTAAAATATCAGCAACGTTCCAGATTTGCTGTACTCTAGGAAAATTTTATTCTTAGATCTTTAGGCTAAAACAAATCTTCAGCTGTGTGAAAGATCCATGGGCAGACTGTTGAGACTATGAATCTCAGAAGAAGGTTGTGCTAAAAAGGGAATCATATGCCTTCTGAGCTGCCAGATAACTGATTGTCTCTTAGCAAGGCAGGTGTTTTTCTCATATATAAAAATTAAGAATTGGAGACAGTTCAGAAGTATTGTCACTGTTAATGGGAGGGCTGAACTACTGGATTTGCAAGGAAAGATTAAAGGAATCTATATCCATCTAAGCTAAGTAAAGGAAAGGTTCATCAATAGTTGAAAGCTGTCAGCCCCAAAGTGAGAGTATTTAGAACTGCAAAAGGAAAAATTACTAGGAATGACATAAAGTTATTTAAGAAAAAAACAAAACAAGTAGAAAATATAAATATGTAGAATAGCAGTGAAAACTGTTAGACTGAGGAGTAGTTCCATGAAGAGTGTGATTGCAAGCATGACAATTGCAACTTAGGTTTGCTCCATAGATTTGAATTCCCTAGATTAGTAAATAGATAGGGCAAAAATGCTAAAAAGGAGGTATTTTATTTCATAGAGCAATCATGTGTTGAAGGTAGATGGCTGGGATGATCCCTTCTGGCTCTTCAATCTCTTTCCTGCCCTATGTGCTTTAACTGAGGCTCACTGTGATCTTATCTATGAAAAGTAATATCTTTGTGGGAACCTGAACTGTGATATTATCAAGTCTGCTCTAAGGATCTTACATATACCACTTCATCACAGATATTATTGACAGTAAGTGCTTTTACCACTTTTATATATTCTCACTGCGAGTTGTTTTACAGCAAGGCAGCCAAATCAAGAGAATTTTTCCAGACCAGCTGATAAGTCTCTTTACAAGCACTTCAGTGAATTCAATGCACTAGGATGTTAAAAGGGTGGGTTAGGACAAAAGAAGGTGTCAAAACATAACCCTCTGCTCTTGCCATCACCTCAAAGGTTATCTCCCCGCATGTAAAATTACTCGTCTTTTTGAACTCCAATTTTCCTTAATTCCTTTATTTGGAAAGTCCATCTGATCCTTTTCAGGATTCGTTTCCCCCCTTCTGATCTTCTGCTTTTGTCTCCTGTTTCCTTCCCTTGCTGCCTGCACATCGTGATTCTTTTTCAGGCTGAGTCATTATCCTTTTAAAAACTCCTAGGAAGGGCTTTTTTCTCAGTCATTCTGTCTATTTCTTAGCCAAGTGGTGCCTATAGGAAGATCAGAATAAGTATCCTGGTGCAAACCCAAGCTAGGAAGAGCTCTGTGAATTGCAGTGCCTGTAAGACAAGCACACAAGTTGTATTGTTTGGTAGCAGTGAGGTCACTTCTAGCCCTTATTCCCTGGCCATTTAGATAAACCTCCACTGGAAGTCAAAAAACCCCATTCTTCACCTTTTTCAGAACCTGAAGATTAAAACTCATCCGGTCCTGCATTTGTGTGTGTGTGATTTTGGAAATAGTTTTTTTTTTTCTCCTGCCATTTATTCTGAGTCCACAGACAACATGGCTCCCTTTCTGCTCCAAAATCTGCACAAATCCTCCCTGTACTTTGCCTACAAATGGAAATAGGAAGTATTCCCTTTCCAGGCCTGCAGTGCCTAATTCAGATTGATTATGCATGAAAAGGAATGTGTCCCAAATGCAAATGTTCCTTGTGCACTACATCTTGTGAGCAAGCAGCCGGTGTGGCTTGCTTCAGTAACTTTTATATGTAAACAGTCTTTAAAAACATAATCTACATTGTCAAAGCCTAATCTAAATGATGTACTGACATTGCGTATTTTGATATGCTGACTTGGTTTTGAATTCTCTCTGGATTGCCTGGCCCCAGATGGCCTTTTTGTGTTTTGTTTACTTTTCACTTAGCTGTCACGTATTTATTCCCATTAGATGTACAAAGTCAATGGGTTCAGCGTCGTTTTACAGCTTAGTTGGCTGATATGGCATAGGAAAAGTGCTGAGTGAAGCCGAGCACAGAGGGTCAGGAAAAAGCATCATGATGCTTCAGGTCTGACATAGAGACCAACGAAACAGAAAACTGGTAAAAGATCTGGCAAAGCAGTTAGAGATTTTTTTATATTTTTTTCCAGAAAAACATTATTTGAGTGGAAAGTGGAAAGTCACTGAAATAAAGAAGGATTTGCTTGACTGAATTTCTGGTTTTAAAAGCTTGCTTCTGAATAAATGCTGAAATGTTATATACACCCTATATATTTAAGTGAAAAGAAAAATGTGAGTTTGTTTCAGATATGAAAGGATAGTAAAACGTTACTTTAAAAGCTTTTCAAGATAATGAGTTGTTCTGGATTTATCTTAGTCAAACAGTTAAAATGGCTTATATGATCATGCTGTTCAAAAGTCTTTGAAGATATGTGGAAACACTTCGTGCTGAGAAAAATAATCCCAAAAAATCTAGTTGGTGTGATCTTGCCCGCAATCATGCACAGAGCCCAAAAGACACATGGATGTTCATGATGTCTATGGCAACCTGAAACGTGCACCATCTTGAACAGTGGTCTTCTGTCTGGATAGCCATGCATACCCTCCCACGCTTCTCCCAATGCGAATTCCTACCTTCCCTATAAAGGGTTGGTTTTTTCAGCTCAAAGGAAAAAAAATAAGGGGGGGATTTGGGGTGGAATTTAGTACTGATGGAGGGAGACCAATGTTTCCTTTGTTCCCTGAAGAACAGGATTCCTGCATGGGGCTGTTTCCCTGACAGCATGTTGTTCTCAGACCACGTTTCTTCCATTTCTGGTGAGGGGCTCAGCCAAAGCACCGCATGGCACCGGTCACAGCGTGCTGTCTTTGCTGAGAGCTGATGGGCACTCAAACTTTCCTTACTTTAAAGAAGACTGTGCTGAAACCGCCATGTGTTTAGGCGCGCTGGCCTCCGTTTGGACTTGAGAGTCTGCAATCTGAGCTCTTGCTATGTCTATTGCAGGTGAAACACGGGAACTATGCCTTTGTGTGGGACGCAGCAGTGCTGGAGTATGTGGCCATCAACGATGCAGAGTGCTCTTTCTACACCATCGGAAACACGGTTGCAGACAGAGGGTACGGGATCGCACTGCAGCACGGCAGCCCCTACCGAGACGTGTTCTCACAAAGGTAAGCGTTTGGAGAAGGCAGAACAGGTCCTAAGGGAAGGTGTCTCTCTCAGCTCTGGACCCTTCTTCTAATTTAATTTTCTTTGAAGGGAAAACATCTTGTGTTTGTTATCCACTTCATTTCTTACATTGGCATTCATTTCCTCGGAGACGTAGGATTATTCACTTTTTTAGAAACTGCATTAAAAATGCTTCATGTTGCTCTAATTTGAATTGTTCTTGTTTCTTTTGGAAAACATTAATGAGATAAGCTGAACATCATTAGCAGGAAAATGAGGAAAGAGTTGATTCATTTGTTATAGAGGGACAGCATAACTCAACCCTTCTTGTTACAGGAGCCTTTTCTGAAAGAGAAAAAGGTAAACTTGGACACTGATTGGAAAACTCAAGGGAATGAACAAGAACATTTGATGTTTCAGTGAAAAGACCCCTATTCCTACCCAAATACTTAGGTGCTTATCCCAATACTAATTGATCTCTTGGGTTACAAAAGTGAGATCTCTAGAGATGCTTCTGGTACTGTGTTTCTACTAGGATCAGACCACTCAATTAATAGTATGTATTGTGCCTTTGCAGTATTTCTGCTTCACTCTAGTACTGATTCCTAAGTCAGGATGTGTGTGAAATGTAAAAAACAAAGATTTAAAAAGTGTAATATCTATGGTCTGGCTCTTAGGAGAAGATGTGGACTAATCTCATGATCCTTTTCCATTCTGAACCTATTCTCTCAATTCAGTTTCTATTGGTTTGTTTTAGACGCATGTAACAAAATTTTACAGTTGCTGTGATGGAATTTCTTTCGTGTGGTTGCTTTAGTGAACATGAGCAATTATGTCATACAAATATGTAGCTCCCTTCAGGCTATTGCCTTTGTCTTCAGCCCATAGAACCAGGTAGGGGTAAAAGTAGTCAGTAAGTAACAACGTGGAGATTCAGAGGCATCACTGTCTGTTCACACATACCACGTGAACAGAGAAGGCTTGAATTCTTTGAATCTGTTCTATGCTGGGAGCTGAATTTGTGCTGACGTAGCAGTAACATAATACAAAAGTTCACAGGACCAATGAAAAATTCAATTTCAATGAAGCATATATGCATTTTATAGGGCTGGCTCTGCTAAAAATCTCTGGCTCTGTAATGTTCGGGCTCTCCATGCCAAACAAAAGAGTAAAACTTCTTCCTGTAATCTTTCTAAGAAATGCTCCCATGTGTTAGAGATCTCTGGTGCTAGACATCTCAGGTGCTAGTCAAGGTGTTAAACCATCCTCTTCAGAGCGTTACCTGGGAAGTCTTAAGTACAAAAATTTGAAGGCATAGGGGAGCTTCATGGTCTGTGTCTTTATTACTAAATACAGTGAATCTGCCAAGTGGCATGGCTCGGCTCATGCCGGCACAGCTGAGCATTCTTCATCCCCACTGCCACCACTCTCCAAGTCAAGGAGGATGTATCCAAACCGCTCCTTAAGGACTGTTTCTGACATTATTTATATACTTGTTATAGTTCTCAGTACATGGGGGAAATGGTCACAGCTGGTTCTGGTAAGCAATTATCTTCTTTGTCACAATATTCAGTACCTGGAGAGACTAGGTTACATCTTCTTCTGATACCCTGCCTTTAGCAACTTCTGGGTCATTGGTCTGTGCAGTACAATTTTATTTCGTAACAAAATTTCAGCATTTCAGTGTATTATTATATCTTGAAGGTGTAAGAAAGCAGAAAGAAGCATAAAAATGTGCACACATATAGCTCTTTTTATCTGAAGATTTTCAAAGTAATATTTAAATATTTGTATCTCTCGGTGGAAAGTAAATGCTATTTACATTTAATGCTTAGGGAATCCATAGCATAAGGAGATTTAAATGAATTCCTAAGGTCAGATGTCTTACCCTGATGGAATCGGGGATCGTAGCCACTCAGATTTCCTCATTTTCCATTTCCTACTATAGTTAATAGGGTTCAGGTGGATGAAGAAAGGGATTATTTGTGAGACATTGGGCCACAGGAGGGTCTGGATGGATATGCAGAACTTAGCCCTGATGAAAAAGTAACTCATTACACTATCAAGAGTAATGGTTGAACAGAGAAATTGGAATTTGCTGAGAGTGATGCTACCTACTGGAGAAATTAGGGAAACTGAGATATATATTCTGAAATGTGTGTGCTTCCCCATAAATTTTTATTTCTTCCTTATGAAAGCATATTATATTGCACTTCTTATTATGTCCATAAATATAAATTTACAGTTTGAAGCTGTGAAACACCATATAAGAAACAAATACATGAAAGAGAAAGCATGCTTATAAGGTAGCTTACAAGGTTTTGTTCTGAAACCCTTCAGTACTGTTCTTTATGATTACTTCCATGTGGTTTTCACAAATCATCCTTTTCTTCCTAATGAAAAGGCTGAACAACCTTCAGCTGCTGTAGCCTGCATGCTAAATAGAGAGAGAAATAGATTTCACTGGATAGGATTAGCAAATGTTCACATGAATATTTCACATTCTTTAATGCAGTAGGGAACTGGTTTGAAATATATTGGCATTTCTTGATCTTTCCCCAAATAAATATATTTATGTGAAAATACAGAGCTTCTCTTTTATGAAATTTCATACAAACCCATAAGCTGCACAGCGTTAAATCCCTAGGGTGCAGCTGTAAAAGGTCTGGCAAGCTTACAGGAGATTTTGGTCTCTGTGCAGGAATCATGGGCACGAGTTTAAGGCTTTCATTACCTTTTCTGAACATTCAAGCTATTTCCAGAGAAACAGGAAAAGAGATAGTGAGGTGTAAGCATCCACCCCTTCTTTCCAATGCTACACGCCATGAATTGCAGTCAAGATAACACTGTGGTAAATTTTAGGCATTTGGGATTTCCAAAACCACTCTGGGATGTCTGTTATGTTGTTCTCCAAGGGATTAACACATGCAAAATACTGTGGCCTTTGGGGATTGCAGCCATATTCACCTGCTCTGTGAAGTATTCCAGTCTCTATGGGAGTTTACCCATCAGGCTACTTAGGAAAGGCATTAAACCTGCAATCAGCATTAAATGCTGAGGTGCCAGCAAAACACAGCTGGGGCCTTGTAAAAATTAAATCCCCTGATGTCATTTCCTTCCATAAGTGATCATGATGGAGTGCCCCTTTATACCCTGGGTAATTTGTGAGGTGCTAAAAGGAAGCCTGAAACAACCAGGAACGTTGTGAGAACCAAAGCTGTGGTGGCTAGTGGTCATGTACCTGTGTTTGAGGTGTGGGACCATGGCTGGTGACCACCTGGTTATCTGGTACCCACCTCACTGACGAGGCAGACACGCTGTGGTGCCCCAAGCACAGTGTGGGGCTGATGCTGGCAGCCACGCTGCTCCCAGCCTCCAGCTGCTGCTACCAGTTAGTGCCCCTGTGTTTGCATGGGACGTGGTCCTGCCAGTGTGGAATGAGCCTCCAGTTACAAAGGAACCAGAAAGTGAGGATGGGTATGGCTACGTCTATGGCTAAATTAACACAAAATGTTCAATATATACTTAATATACACTTGATTTTAAGTTGATGCAATTAAGCAAGTATCATATGGGAATGGGCTGCCGTTGAGGTACATTTGCTTGCGTTGGTTCATATTGCATTTATAAATTTACACATGTAAGATGATGCCTATACTCTTCAGAGAGAAGAGAGAGTGCTCCCACATGTTTGAACTGATGCGGTTTAAAATCAGAATTATTCTTACAAATGAAAGTTTGGGTATAGGGAAATATTAGTGAAGCATGTGGCAAAATGCACATCACTTAGAAACTCCATGCACATTTGCCAAGCTGGGCTTTTAAAAAATTAATTCCAGCCACACCACAGAAGATGAAGCCCTGTTCGGGATTATTCTTTCCAGACTCAAGGAAATCTAACATTTTGGGGATGAACAAAATGTTTTTGATGAGAAAAGTTATACCATTTAAAGCGCAATACTGATATGCCTTCAAAAAAGCATTTTGTGCAGGTGCAGTTCAGTGGAGGAAAAGGGTAACCAAGTGAAAGCACTGTAAAGAACCTGCTCTTTGAGACCTCTCTTTTCTGCATGCAGAAAATCTCCTCTAGGCCAAAACAAGGGCATGAGCAGCAATGAGTGGTCCGACTGCAGAATGAGACAGGCTTTTTGCTGTGTTGGGATGGCAAAGTGGCCAGCTGGGGTCCCACGCAGCACCTGTGACTGCTTGGTGCTCTCCCTGAAAACAGGTGCTTCAAGTCCATCCTGAAAATAGGTGTGTGGCTTCAGAGTGAATAGTATAGAAAATAGTCTAGGTAACATTTGAATGATGGACCTGTTGCAGCGTCCTGATGACTTTGTTCATCTGTTGCAGATCTTAATGGTCTCTTAATGATCTCTGAGCCAGTTGGTGTGCTCAGGTAGATCGCTGGCCCCTTTTCTTTGCCACTAAGACTTAACCTTCTGAGCACCAGCAGTCCCCAGGCAGCGTGTCAGTTTTCACTCTATCTCTCTATCTATTTTTCTTTCAAGGTAATGACAGGGGCTTTAATAATGGGAACTGCCAAATTTCCTAGGAGAGTTTGAAGAGAATGTGTCATTTGGTTCCTGAGGAACTGTATGCTGACACTAAATTTGACACCTCTTAAGGAGTCTTTTCAGCCCTAAACTTTAAAACTTCCATTGCACCCCTGGGAGGTATGAATATAATTGCAAACTCTTTCCAGAGTATTTCATAGGATGTCTGTGCCTCCTGAAGCTCAGCAGCCATGGCTCAGGTGCCGTGCTGGGGGCTGCTTTCTGGTGAGGGTCGAGGAGGGGGTGACAGCAAAGTGACATCCCCGCTTTCTCTGCTGGCTAACTCTTTTCTTCTGTGCTACAGTCCTGGCCACACAGCTCAGTAGAGGAAACAATTTGATTTCATACTCATCAGAGGCTAGTGGCCAGCTTTTCACTTAATTAGAAGCCGGCAACACCCAGTGCCACCAAAAAATCAAGCCATAGTTGTTTTTCATTCCTCATAT